AGACATCGGTCAAGAACATCCTGAAGTACCTAAAAAGGACTAAGGGTATGTTTCTCATTTATGGAGGTGATAAAGAGCTCGTCATAAATGGTTACGTCGATGCTAGCTTTGACACTGATCCGGATGACTCTAAGTCACAAACCGCATACATATTTTTATTGAATGGTGGAGCTGTCGGTTGGTGCAGCTCCAAGCAGAGCGTCTTGACGGGATCTACGTGTGAAGCGGAATACATAGCTGCTTCGGAAGAAGCAAATGAAGGAGTCTGGATGAAGGAGTTCATATCTGATCTAGGTGTACTACCTAGTGCATCGGGTCCAATAAAAATCTTTTGTGACAATACTGGAGCAATTGCCTTAGCAAACGAATCCAAATTCAACAAAAAGACCAAACACATCAAGAGACGCTTCAACTCCACCCTTGATCTAGTCAAGGAGGAAGACATAGAGATTTGCAAAATACATACAGATCTGAATGTGGTAGGCCCATTGACTAAGCCTCTTCCATGAGCAAAACATGATCAGCACCAAGACTCAATGGGTGTTAGAATCATTACTTTGAAATCTAGATTATTAACTCTTGTGCGAGTGGGAGACTGAAGGAAATATGCCCTAGAGGCAATAATAAAGTTGTTATTTTATATTTCCTTATTCATGATAAATGTTTATTATTCATGCTAGAATTGTATTAACTGGAAACTTGATACATGTGTGGATACATAGACAAAACACCGTGTCCCTAGTATGCCTCTACTTGACTAGCTCGTTAATCAAAGATGGTTAAGTTTCCTAGCCATAGACATGTGTTGTCACTTGATGAACGTTATCACATCATTAAGAGAATGATGTGATGGACAAGACCCATCTGTTAGCTTAGCATAATGATCGTTCAGTTTCATTGCTACTGCTTTCTTCATGTCAAATACATATTCCTCCGACTACGAGATTACGCAACTCCCAGATACCAGAGGAATGCCTTATGTGCTATCAAACGTCACAACGTAACTGGGTGATTATAAAGATGCTCTACAGGTATCTCCAAAGGTGTTTGTTGGGTTGGCATAGATCGAGATTAGGATTTGTCACTCCGAGTATCGGAGAGGTATCTCTGGGCCCTCTCATAATACACATCATAAGAAGCCTTGCAAGCAAAGTGACTAATGAGTAAGTTGCAGGATGATGCATTATGGAACGAGTAAAGAGACTTACTGGTAATGAGATTGAACTAGGTATGAAGATATCGACGATCGAATTTCGGGCAAGTAACATACCGATGACAAAGGGAATAAAGTATGTTGTCATAATGGTTCGACTGATAAAGATCTTCGTAGAATATGTGGGAGACAATATGAGCATCCAGGTTCTGCTATTGGTTATTGACCGGAGAGGTGTCTCGGTCATGTCTACATAGTTCTCGAACCCGTAGGGTCCGCACGCTTAACGTTTGATGACGATTTGTATTATATGAGTTATGCAATTTGGTGACCGAATGTTGTTCGGAGTCTCGGATGAGATCAAGACATGACGAGGAGTCTCAAAATGGTCGAGAGGTAAAGATTGATATATAGGACGATAGTATTTGGACACCGGAAGTGTTCCGTGGGTACCGGTACGTATCGGGTCACCGGAAGGGGTTCCGGGCATCCCACTGGCAACTACATGGGCCTAATGGGCCAAGAGTGGGACAAACCATCCCCTAAGGGGCTGGTGTACCCCATGTAGGCCGAAATAGAGGGGGGGGGGAGGAAAGAGGAGAAGAGAGAAAGGAAGGGGAGTGATTCGACCTCCCCCTTCCTTATCTCCCTCCTCCTCCTTCCTTCCCCCTTCGGGAATTATGGTAGGGGGGGCGAATAGTATTAGGGCCCCAAGTAAGATTCCTCCTACTTGGGCGCTCCCTTGGCTGTCCCCTCTCCCTCCCACCTATATATATGCAGGGGGGGCGCTTAGAACACACAATATTGATTCTTAGCCGTGTGCGGCGCCCCCCTCCACAGTTTACGCCTCCGGTCATATTCACGTAGTGCTTAGGCAAAGCCCTGCACGGATCACTTCACCATCACCATCATCATGCCGTCGTGCTGACGCAACTCTCCCTCGACACTTTGCTGGATCAAGAGTCCGAGGGACGTCATCGAGCTGAACGTGTGTAGAACTCGGAGATGCCGTACGTTCGGTGCTTGATCGGTCGGAACGAGAAGAAGTTCAACTCCATCAACCACGTTAACAAACGCTTCCGCTTTTGGTCTATGAGGGTACGTGGACACACTCTCCCCCTCTCGTTGCTATGCATCTCCTAGATAGATCTTGCGTGAGCGTATGAATTTTTTTTAAAATTGCATGCTATGTTTCCCAACAGCGCGTGCGTTCGGCCGCCCCCTCCCCCTTCATTTATACGGCAACGACGGTGGGGCCGAGATGACGCTTCCGGGGGCATGGGATTAACTGCGCCCACGTCCCGCATGCCCCCACAAATCCTGCGCCTTAATGGCGCACAATCATTCCGCCTCGGTCGCAGCGGATCCGCGCGCGCGCCGAGGCCATGTAGTGACGGGCCCGAGCCTGCACGGCGTCCCATCGCGCGCATGGGCTAGCAGGCCCGCCTGGCCTGCTGGCGACGCGTGGCATTCGAGCAACGGGCGACGAGCGCGCTACCCGATGGCGTCTCTCCGTCGCCCGCCACAACGATTCAAATTCAACAGGCGGCCGCTCTCGCCACGGCCGACTCCTGGCACGTGGCTTCTTCAAGCCGAACGATACAAAGACAGAGGACCTCTCGGGGGAAACTGCTGAGGCACTCTGGTTGCGATCCATGGCGCCTCACTAGCTTCAGGGACTACTGTCGGGGGGATAGACCCCGGGTAGCCTCATCCTTATCCAAAGACATTTCAAGACATCGGGGCTAGCAAAGCCCCTCATGCCGACTGGTCATGCGGCCGGCTCCCTGGGCCGACTGGTACCACGTGGCCGGCTTCCAGAAGAGGCACGCTCCAGAAGACGGCTTGGGAGTGGGCCGGCCTCTAGCAGCCGGCCCGTCCACTCCCTCGGAGTCTGCACTCAACCACTGCGACGAGACGGAGCGTAGCAATAGTGCCACCTGCTCCTCTCGAATCCCGGAAGGGCGTGGCTACAGTGTGCGCTGACCAGGTGGCCACCTACCCACCTGACAGTGGTCTATAGCCGTACGACCTCTAATGCGGCCCTCATCAGCAAGGACGGTTCTACAGTGAAAGGCAATCAGCGTGGCCCGTAGGCGGCGGGCCCTACCCGTCGTCCGGATTCTCGGCAGTCGGAGGGGCCCTTTAGAGGCGGGCCCCAGCAGTCGGCGGAGAACCCAGCGACCCCAGACACTGACGACCGGCCCCAGGGCTTTGTAGCCTTACCATTGTACCCCTGGGGGGTCGGCTTGTAAGACCCCCCGGGCTCACCCATGCAAAGGGTTCACCATCCATCCCACTCACACACACCATAGCTAGGATAGGAGAGGGAGAGCTCTACCCTTCTTCTGCATCCAGCCGAACAGCTCAAGGAGCAACGTCGTACACTCTTGATCATAGTCATCATAGCAGGAGTAGGGGTGTTATATCTCCGGAGAGCCCCGAACCTGAGTATGTCCCGCGTGCTACCGAGCTCGTGCTCAGAGCCCCGAACCTGAGTATGTCTCGCGTGCTACCGAGCTCGTGCTCACGCTCGCTTCCGGAACCCTACAACGTCCACATGGCTCCACCCATGATAAGCCATGCATTTAACGTGAGATTACGACGACAGTTACTAGTCTATATTACTACCTCTATAGTGGAGAGTAACATATGTGTGGTGTCATGCAACTTTTTATTTAGGTTGTAGACTCATCTTGTCTTGGTATGTGTGATGTTACTCAGGCTGGTTGTAATGGGGAATATCATATATTAGCATCATGTAATACTTTATTTATTGCCATGCATGACACATAGTATCATAGCATTTATTATGGTACGGTATCATGATATGATACCCAACCATCACTTTCTTAATTTAATTTTATGACACCTCATGAAAATTGCCCAGTTGGCATGTATGATACTAACTATTACTCCCATTAGGACCAGCTCATAGTATGAGTAAATAGCTACTACATCCGTTTCAGTTTACAAGTCATGCGTGTATACCTAAGTTGTCAATTTTATCACCCTAATATAAACTATATAACACAAAAATTATACCTTTTGAAAGTAGAAACTCCGTAGTTTATGTTGATATATTTTTTGTAATATATGACTTGTATTGGGTTGGTCAAATTGAAGACCTAGGGGTACGCGCACGCCCTGTAAACTAAGAGAGAGGTAGTGTATTATTACACGTCTCTCTTTTATCATTAATTACTTGCCATGTCATATATTTCATCTAGATAAGTGTTATCATCTATGTTACTAGTATATGATACTCCCCAACCAGGTATCATGCATGCCAACAAAGCAATTTTGATGACGTGTCATAGAATTAAATGAAGAAAGAGAAGGTTGGGTATCATATCATGATACTGTATCATAATAAATGCTATGGTACTATATGTCATGTAGACAATAAATAAAATACTATATGATACTAATATATGATACTATGGATTAGAAAAATAGTATCATACACTAGTATCACATGTATGATACTAGTATATGATACTCCCCGTTACAACCAGCTACTGTGGGTCAGAGGAGTGACATGTAGTAGGACCCTGGCATAGCACAGCTGTTAGCTGGACTGCTGATCCGTTGCAACTGTTAGTAGGACCACTATCTCCTCACATCTTCTTATAAATAAATAAAAACATTACTTAATAAACAAACAGAAAAATAACGTGAGAATACGGATTTCCAGGAAGGAAACAGCAAACCACGCTCTCGCCACAGTCTAAATCTCCACCTCCTATAAATACGCGGGGGCGGCCCACGAAGCCCGCGACCGCGTAAAACGCGAAGAAAAAGTAAAGCACAAAAAACGCGCAGGGGAGCGAGGCCGGCCATGGAGATGGGCGGCGACGAGATGATGATGACGTCGGGCGCCACGGGCCGGATCGTGCCCGTCTTCCGCTCCGTGATGTCCCGCCGCGCGCTGCTCCGCCTCGCCGTCGCGCTCCACTCGCTCTTCCTCTGGCTCCTCCTCCTCGTCGGCCGCCGCCGCCGCCCCGACGCCGCGAGCCCGGCGGAGCCCGGCCGCCTGGGGAAGGCCAGGAGCAGGCGCAGGGCCGCGGAGGAGGAGGACGTGCGCCGCCGCCGGGCGCTCGCGGAGGAGGTGCCCATGGTGGAGGACGACGCGGACGTGGACGGGAGGACGTGCGGCACGTTCGTCATCGCCGGGGCCAGGCGGAACGCGCTCTTCTGCCGCGTCTGGGCGCCGGCGGCCGGCGCGGAGACGAGGTGAGCCCCGTCCGCCCGTCCCGTGGCGTGTGCGATTGAATTGCCTTCCGTGGACCGTGGGGGTTTCCGTCGCTGTGGAAATTGGTGGTTTCCTTTTGTTCGTTTGTGTGGATTTCGCTTTCGTGGTTCCTGTTTTTTTACTTGTCACTTTTTTGTTGTTGTATTTATATCATATCGGTGGAGCGGTGGGGGAACGGTAGTTCGTGGACTTGACCTTACCCAGAAGGGATCTGTTCTTTCCTTTGGATCAGCCAATCACGTAGGTTTTTCTGCGAGAGTTCTTGGCATTTCGTTGACAATAATACACGGATTTTTTTCCTAAAAAATAAAACAAGGATTTTCTTCGGGTCTTTGATCCCTTAGGAATTAGGAACTTTGTTCATTTGCGAATTGTTCGTAGTGAGTAGTTCTCTGGCACTCTTGTCTGATGCCAACGGGTGGTAATTTCAGTTAAAGTTGCAATTTTCTGCTCCTGTTTAGGCGATTTTTGGTGTAGTAATGGCAAGGCGCGATGAGCATTTAGATCATGCATACTAGCTGCGGTTTTGATCACGCGATTAGAGTGCTTTACCAGATACCTGGACCTAGTGTTTCACAGAAGACTTTGTGGCTGCTGCTCTACTCATAAAGAGACGTGCCGTGCGATGCACGTTGAGTACATCCAAAAAAAATTCAGATCTCCACCGATCTTTGTATTCATAGTCATTACCCCTGTCAATGATGATGTATGGAGTTTGTCCTCGTCGCAGAGCTGCTGTTTTAGGTTGTCATATTTCTTGTACGCGTCTCTCCTTCGGAACCTGAGCTAGTTGACTAAAAATTAACGATAGCTTTGTGCAGTTTTTTTTGGGGGGATAGTGTGAAGCAACTTTGAAATACAGGAAAGGGGGAACAAGTAAAGTGGAACGGATCAGGAGAATATAAGCTGATACTTATCTCTAACTTCTGTTCCATTCTTATCTCTCATACTCCATGAAAAAACTTAACGTAATGTCTCCATGTGACACCGGAAAACTTAGCTATCAAGAAAGGGGGAGCGGGATTTTTCTTGATTCTTTAGTGCGCCCACTTTGTGCAACCAAAGTTGATTATTCTTGACACGACCCAGTGTGTAGTTGCCTGAGCTGACCATCAACTTTGTTTTCAATATGAATGACATAATAGTCAAACAACCTAGCAAACAAATTTTGAAAAGGGAGATAACCACAACTAATTTAGTTAATCCGCCACCGCGAATGTTGCTGACTGGTTTTATGGCTCCACATGTGTGAACACCTTCTGAAGATTATGGTTCTGTTTCAGTCTCTTTCATTAGAAATGAGAAGTTTGAAGTATCAAACTGAACCCTTCTTTCACTTGCAGTCACGCAATTTTGTATTGACATTTTTTCCTCTTTTGCTTTAGGGGCATTCTGCTCATCGTACATGGGCTCAACGAGCATAGGTAAGGAAATCATGTTGAGTCATTCCCCTCCAGTCCTCCAAGCTTCAGCATGGTGGTGTACCTACCTATATTTTTCATCTCCTCCTTGTATTGAAGGCATTACTAAATGTACCTTGATCTTGCGTTTCAGTGGGAGGTATTTGCATTTTGCCGAGCAGCTAACATCATGTGGCTTTGGAGTATATGCAATGGATTGGATAGGTAAGGAAACCTACTTGTGGTTTTCTGAACATGAGTTCTTCTGGTATATTATAGGAAATGTTGCACATGGTTGGTTGGTGGAAGATCAGTGCTATATTTAGAAATAAAGTAAATAAATGATCAATTTCGAGGGATGATGTTCGATCTTACATAATTATTCCTCGGAGAAAATCTAACTAACTGTTAGTTCTTAATTGCTTGGTATGGGCAAAAACTACTAGGAAACTAGAATAAATTACTACTCCGAGTACTAGCTTTTTTTGTGTGTGTGGATTATGTAGGTATCAAACTAACTACGTGTTAGCTGTCTGGTACTGGTAATGTTATGACAACATTTAGAATCAGATAGTAGTTTTTTTATAGCATGTTATAGGGTACTCCCTCCGTAAAGAAATATAATAGCGTTTAGATCACTAGAGTAGTGATCTAAATGCTCTTATATTTTCTTTACAGAGGGAGTAAAATATAAGCAACGACGCTAAGGTTGTCATCATGCCGTACCCGCATAGTTGTGGATTCTTACCTTGCAACTCATTCCCATGAATCAAGCAGTACTTCGAGAAAAACATTCGTGGTTTTCAATCTCTTTGGTCCTATTAGGTGTGAGCATGCCTGTTGAATTTTGCATTCATCTCAACATCAACAGGCTAACATGAGCTTACGCTTAACAGGTCATGGTGGCAGTGATGGTCTGCACGGTTATGTTCCTTCTCTCGATTATGTCATAGAAGACATGGTAAGTCTCTTTCTGTCCACCTACTTCTACATTCTGTTCAAGGTTTTTTGATAGAAGGCACAAAGCTATTCTGTTCCTGATTGCTAATGTAATGCTATATTATCATCTCTGGACAGGAAGTACTTCTTGATAAAATTATGCTGGAGAATCCAGATGTTCCTTGTTTTCTACTCGGTCACTCCACTGGTGGAGCTGTTGTTTTAAAGGTATGGCTTGTCGAATTAAATCGCGTTTTGTCATCGGTATTTAGGCCAGATCTAGACACTGACCCTACTCCTCTGGGCCTGTGAACAATGGATACCCTGACGGCGGAGAATGGTGCAAAGCATTAACAAAATAGCCTGGTTGAAATGGTTTGGCTAACGATGCTCATTTAACAACGCTTAACTTTCTTGTTTCATGCATGCTCATCACTAGCTGTCATTTTGCAGGCGTCGCTGTACGCTCATATCAGAACCAGACTGGAAGGGATCATCCTGACTTCACCAGCTGTGCGTGTAAAACCAGCGCATCCGATAGTTGGGGTAATATTACTATTCCAGTTTCCTATTATTATTCCAATTTATCCTGATTTGAGAACTTTTGGTATTGTACGGTCATATCAAAAGCAGAGCTATTTCAGAAGCTCTGCTTTTGAATTCATCCACAAATTCCAAACTTAAAATTGGCCACAATATTTGTTTTACCTGCATGGCAAGTTGTATGTCATCACTGAGACTTACCTGAATCAATGCAGGCCGTGGCACCGATATTCTCTCTGATAGCACCCAAGTTTCAATTCAAGGGAGCCAACAAGCGCGGCATCCCTGTGTCCCGCGACCCCGCCGCGCTGCTAGCGAAGTACTCTGACCCGCTGGTCTACACGGGGCCGATCAGGGTCCGTACAGGCCACGAGATCCTGCGCATCTCCTCCTACCTGCTGCACAACCTGAAGAAGGTGACGGTCCCGTTCGTGGTCCTGCACGGCACCGCGGACCGTGTGACGGACCCCCTAGCCTCGCAGGAGCTCTACACGGAGGCCGCGTCGAGGCACAAGGACCTGCGTCTGTACGAGGGGTTCCTGCACGACCTGCTCTTCGAGCCCGAGCGCGACGAGATCGCCGCCGACATCATCGGGTGGATGGACCGGACGCTCGGTCTGCAAGCCGTATGAAGGGCAGCTGTTGTCTGAAGATGGGGGAGGAGCTCAACATCATGTGCGGATCGCTCCGGTCAGAGCCATGGGATTGCAGCCATGGGCTTCATGGCATGGCAAGACATGCATGATGGCTTTGGTCTGGTTCTGATTGTATTGTTTGCGGTGATCCTCGTCTTACGATGCTGCCGGTACAGACCAGTGGACTGAAAAGCCAGTGGTTTGTGGTTTGTATTAATGCTACACTATCTATAATAACAGAAGGGGTGAAAAGAATGACGCGTACTGCTGGCCTGGAAAACCTTTCTTGATCCTGTAAAGTTTGTTGCCCCAATTATTGGCACTACGTATTCCGACCTGCAAACCTGTAAAACGTAAACAAGCAGCTGCACGTATCCTGGCGGTTAGCTGTCTCGGACCAACATGTGCCAACTGCAAGTGGTTGGGAGGGACCGTTTTGTTGGCAGTTTCGAGTCAACAATTGCGAGCGGTAGATTATTGATTGGACATGTTCGTACGTATGATTTATGAAACTAGGTGCAGATAGTATAATTCCTCCCGCGGATAGATTTTCTGGCTGGTGGCTCTCCTGCAGCAACGTGTGCCGTTGGCGGCCAAGTGGTAGCCGGGGACGGTTGACAGTTTCAAGCAAGGTCAGCACTGGTGAATGGTAGTTAGTGGGTAGGTGGTCCGAAGTCATGTGCGCTAGGACATGCTCCCTTCAAAAAGCGTTGTTCAAGTTTCAGCTTTGAGGGTGTTTGGACCACGGTCACATAGGACTTCGACACCTTCGGACTACTTAAATCCCCCATTATATTTGCCAAGTCTCTTTGCACAATATGTCTCACCACATTTTTAGGAATAACTAGTTATTGAAGATAAGGCTAAGAGATGGCCCATTGTAAACAATTTTTTTTTGTCATCTCTAAATTACATGCATGACTTAAGATAAGGTTTATCTTATCAACTACTGTACATGCCCTAACTAAGAGAAGACAAACATTTTCTTATGAGTTCTATCTCCTCCATCTCATCGTTTATCCTACGTGGCATTACTAAGATAGTCTTATCTTAAGTCTTGCACGTAATTTAGAGATGACAAAAAAACATGTCTACAATGGGTCATCTCTTAGCCTTATCTTCAATAACTAGGCATTCCTAAAAATATGTGAGGCATATCGTGCTATGAGATCATCTCGTGTCTTCTCTTATTTAAGAGACGACAAGCCTTTTCTTATGAGTTCTCTCTCATCCACCTCATCATTTATCCTACGTGGCATTCCTAAGATAGCACCATTGTACATGCCCTTAGTGATTACACTCGTCTTGCTCCGAAAAGGCGCGATTTCATAGGGCGTGCTACGTGTCGTGGGAATGAGTCTGACAGTAAGAGTAGGCGGTACGTAGGAGGAGGCAGTGTCCTAACTACGGCGAGGCTATTCACACAAGTTTGCGAGTTCAAGCCCCTCTCGGATGAGGTAACAGCCCTACGTCTCGATGCCTCGGAGGCTTGTCGACTGGATATGTGTGAGAGTTACAAGGGGTGCGAACCCTTGTGCCAGAGGAGGGGGTGGCTTATATAGAGCGCGCCAGGCCCCTTGGAGCCCTCAGTTACACAGAGTTCAATGTGAGTTATGACTAGAACGTTACTGGTAACACCTGCTATTAATGATCTTTATGACGACGGAGTGAATGCCTGACCGTTACCATCCTGGGTTACTTTAGCTCTTCTGTACTCCGAGTGAGTCTTTTCTATGGTCGAGTGGAATTGGGATATCTGAGTCGAATCTTCCTTCGACTGGATTGCACTTTAGGAGCGTTTCAGTCGGTATCTTCTGTTATACTTTGTATGTCTTTGACTCTAGGGTAGTGTCCTTGGGTAGGGTGTGTAGGTCAGGCCTAAGACCCTACCCTAGGTACATGTCATCGTCTAGCCCCCGAATGGATTGAGGTCCGAGTGAAGAAGGGTTAAGTTGGTTCTGACCCGATTCAATGCTCCGGAGTCATTTCCTCAGGGGTCTGAGAACATGCTGGTACGTTAACTCTTCATCAGCCGCCTTGATCGATTCTTACCCATAGAATTTCCGAGTGAACTATGTTGCATATCTTCGAGTGGATTGAAATGCATGTCTCTGATGCTATTGACTGCACTGCGGTTTCCGGATCTCGTGTGATTCGACATTTGGAGAAGCACGTAGGACGGGACGCGGCGCGGTAAGCGGGGTGGACAAATAAGGACTCCTCGATCTTCGCGCCCCTTTTTTGCCACGTATTGGGCCAGCGCCTGTTACATGATGTGCCAGGATTGCATGGGTCCACCAGTCAGCCACTCAGAAGTAAAGCCATAAAAAGGGTGGTTGCCGAGGCGTTGCACTGTGCACTCCATTCGCGTTTCCTTCTTTCCGACTCTCCGCCTCGTCTCCTCCAGCTCTTCCCCCCTTCACCCATCTCTCTCGAGCTCCGCCGCCATGGTGAAGGACAAGACTACGGCCCTGGAGCACGCGAAGAAGGCCACGACAAAGGGAAAGAAAATGGCGAGGGGTCGACATCGCGGTCCAATCGTCCGCCTGGTTGGATCCAGGGAGATTGGATCCCCTCCACCGTCACGGAGGAAGATCTGGTGAATCTCACCACCGACGGCCTGATTATGGAGGGATCTTGGAGATTGTTGAGGGGGGCACGAACCTCAGCCACAGGAGGGTGAGTGTGTTCTCCTTACGATGCATGTCGATCGAGGTTTTTCCCTGCCTCCCCATCCGTTCTTTCGAGCTTTCTTGAACTTCTTCGGAGCCCAGATCCATCACCCCCCAACACCATCACTTATCTTGCCGCCTTCATTTCCATGTGCGGAAACTTTCTGGGGTGTCATCCGCGCTGGGGTTTGTTCAAACACATTTTCACTTGCCGATCTCAGTCGGTGAAAAAATCTCATCTGATTGATGAGAAGACGCATGTTATCCAGATGTGTGTGTGGGGGGGAGGGTGTTAGGGATCCAGATGAGAGGTAGGAGCACCTTTCCTCCCATGACCTTTCCGGAATCAGTCAAGGGGTGGCAGTCGACTTGGTTCTATTGTAAGGATATCCCGACTCCTGGTCTTCCTCCTTTCACCCTGGAGAGGCCCCAAAATCTTCCTTCGTTGGTAGTTTCTATGAAGGAGAAGGGTGAAGTAACAATTTTGGTCGATGTTCTTGTTGCTTTGGTCCGGGTGGAGTAACTGGCATGGATCTGCTTGAGGTGTTCCTCAGTCGACGCATCCAGCCCCTGCAAGCCCGCGACCACCCCATGTGGATGTATTCGGGCCCAGAAGACACCGCTCGGACTCACCCGGAGGAGGTCGGCGAGGAGATGGTGGCTCGGTGGCTTCGGAGCATCACGGGTAACAAGGACAACCCTCACGGAGCCAAGAGGATCCAACCATTCGATGCCCAGAACTCTCTAGGAGAGGTTAGGCGTGTCCATCGAGTGTTTACATCTTGTTCAATATGCAGTGACCTTGGAATCCGACTGATGCTTGTAACTTGTTTATTGTAGGTCTTCACCAAAATGTACTCAATGCCGAATGATGATCAGCACCAAGAAGGAGTACAGAGTGATGGTGGAACTGCTGATTTCAAATATGCAGATGATAGTGAGGACTCTAACAGTAGTGAAGGAGTCGACTCACCGCCCCGCTCTGAACGACGCTCCAAGCAATCACAAGATCCTGTGGGAGGACGCAGCAAGGCAGTCGCGTCGAGCACGAAGATTCCAAAGCGCACTCGAATGTCAACTCCAGAGCCGTCAGAGAAGGTTGTGAAGCAGGACAAAGTCGTCCCACTCAAGCCTTGGAAGGCCCTGCCCAGGATCAAGGTGACCGTGCCTGTTGCTTCAATGTAAGTATTTCTTTCCCTTGTCTTTCGTCGCCACTGTGGACTTCTTCACTTGTTTGACTGAGTGAGATTTGGGATTTCTAGAGCTGCTACTTCTGCAACGTCCATGGACATCGACAAGGAATGGGCTGATGCGGAAATTGCAGACGGGGCCACTTCTCGAGCAGGTACGAAACTGCAAACATGTTCCTGCATTACTGACTGTTTTGGAGGTTGACTGAACTATTGCTTGTCGAGTGTTTGCAGTGCCGACAGACTTTATCCAGCTTACTAACGACAATGACAAGGATGAACCTACGAGAAGTGCGGGAAGAAGGGGCAGGGCTTTGAGTAAGAGGGTGCCTTCCAATCGAACGCCTCGCTCACAGTCTGAGCATGTCGTTCAAGGACTTGGTGACTCATCTTGTGCTGTTGTTTCTTTTGTTGTTCCTCTATTGACTGATCAACCTCCAGTGTCGACTATTCAGGCGTCAGGTCCGACTGGGCAGTCTCAAACTTTGATTCCTCCAACTTTGTCCTCAACCCCTGAGTTGATTGGACTCGGTCTTCATCACGTCCCAGAGGACCAAACTAGAGCTGCCAAGGAGGCCATGATCCAGGCAGGTTTGATGATGGAGAGGATGAAGGCAGTGTATGAGAATAGCAAGGCTCCTTATGACGCCAGTTCTGCCCTTCAAACCAACATCCGAGTAAGTGGGATTGTAAGTTGATTTCCGCCTTTCATCTTGACTTTTGCTCTGTTAGGATATGCTATCTAAAAACTGCTACTTTATTGTTCGTAAGATGTGTGTGGATGAGCGTTTTGGAACCTTTAATGTGCATCTATCATGGGTCTAAACCTTGTATCTGTACACCCAGTGGGGTTTTCTCTTTTAGTTGTGTAGCTCTTCCACTCGAATTAGACATATCATGTCAAGTGGGATCCTGATCAAGTGGGGGCACGCTAAGTGCACCCATTGGGTGTAGTCCCCGGGACCGCCGTCAGAAGTTTGATTCGGCGGGGTCGTTTTAGAATATGCCTGCTTGTAGCACTTGAAGGAAATATTCCCTAGAGGCAATAATAAAGTTGTTATTTTATATTTCCTTATATCATGATAAATGTTTATTATTCATGCTAGAATTGTATTAACCGGAAACTTGATACATG